AGTGACTTGTAGCCTCCATTGGAAGCCCGTGTGACAGGGTGATACCACAGGAGACAGGGATAGAGAAGGACCTCCATGGTGGGATCACCACAGATCAACATTGTCTTTTAAAATGACATTAACACATTAAAGAGGAGATGAGATTTTAGTGTTTGGGTTTAGATCTGCCCTAAAGTTGTATTTTGGTGAGATGGCTGGTTGTTCGGCATACAAAATGGCCGCCAGCTCAGTGAACAGACTAATTGGGTTTACCAAACTGGATTGTTCTTGTCGCCGGCAGAAGCCAATCAAAGGAATCCATTCATTCTGAGGGTGCGGCACATGGATTCTCATCGAATGATGGACAGCTTGGCCCGGCATGTGGCCACGTTCTACGATGCAATGATTGCCATTTCAGATCTCCGCATTGTAACACGCGTAGAGGACATTTAATTCCGCATTGACCGGCGACAGACCCCTCGCCATCTTCTCATAATTATTTTTTTTTCTTCTTCCTGTTGAAATGAATTGCTTTCAGCTTATACTGAGCGAGCGATTACATGATTTGGCCTCCGGCGTTCCTGCAGACATGCTCAGAATATCTACTCGGCTCTCTCGCTGCGTATTAATTTTAGGGTTTGTTTCTAGCTCGGAGAATTAGGAGGCTAAAGCCTTCCAGATACCCACCAACAATTCATCTACTCTAATTTATTCCATCCCGCCACCCCGAAAAACAAAACCAACCGATCATTCCGTGACCCAAAATATGAATGAAGACATTTGTGAGCAGCCTGAGTACCATTTTTTTGCACCGTCCATAGCGACCAATAACCTTTCATTATCTCAGCGCTGTATGGGAAAGTCAAAAGGTGGTGACTCTGAGGGGCTGCTATGAGCAATGCTTCCTGTAGGAAGACCCGTGACTTATTACAAGTACCTGTTACTACGGGATACAACAAATCGGAATTGATCTTTCACAGATCTGGCTGCAGTAAATTGAAGTTTGATTGATTACTATGCACTATTGAGTTACAGTATATACTATTCACTATTGAGTTACTGCACTGTGCACAATAGTGTCTTCTGATTGAGCCCTTCTGTCTACAGTGTCTACACTTCAAGTCCATGTCACTGACCTTTTAATACCTACAAGTTAGGTGCCTCTATCTGAGTTCTACTTGCTGCAGGTCAGATACCTCTACCAAAGCTTCTGCTCTCTATAAGGTGTCTCTGCCTGAGCTTCTTCTCTTGATGGGTTAGATGCCTACATCTCAGCTTCTTCTCTTGATGGGTTAGATGCCTACATCTCAGCTTCTTCTCTTGATGGGTTAGATGCCTACATCTCAGCTTCTTCTCTTGATAGGTCAGGTATCTATATCTCAGCTTCTTCTCTTGATAGGTCAGGTATCTATATCTCAGCTTCTTCTCTTGATAGGTCAGGTATCTACATCTCAGCTTCCTCTCTTGATAGGTCAGGTATCTACATCACAGCTTCTTCTCTTGATGGGTTAGATGCCTACATCTCAGCTTCTTCTCTTGATAGGTCTTGTATCTATATCTCAGCTTCTTCTCTTGATAGGTCTTGTATCTACATCTCAGCTTCTTCTCTTGATAGGTCAGGTATCTACATCTCAGCTTCTTCTCTTGATAGGCAGGTATCTACATCTCAACTTCCTCTCTTGATAGGTCAGGTATCTACATCTCAGCTTCTTCTCTTGATAGGCAGGTATCTACATCTCAACTTCCTCTCTTGATAGGTCAGGTATCTACATCTCAGCTTCTTCTCTTGATAGGCAGGTATCTACATCTCAACTTCCTCTCTTGATAGGTCAGGTATCTACATCTCAGCTTCTTCTCTTGATAGGCAGGTATCTACATCTCAACTTCCTCTCTTGATAGGTCAGGTATCTACATCTCAGCTTCTTCTCTTGATAGGCAGGTATCTACATCTCAACTTCCTCTCTTGATAGGTCAGGTATCTACATCTCAGCTTCTTCTCTTGATAGGCAGGTATCTACATCTCAACTTCCTCTCTTGATAGGTCAGGTATCTACATCACAGCTTCTTCTCTTGATGGGTTAAATGCCTACATCTCAGCTTCTTCTCTTGATGGTTTAGATGCCTACATCTCAGTTTCCTCTCTTGATGGGTTAAATGCCTACATCTCAGCTGCTTCTCTTGATAGATCAGTTGTCTATATCTAAGCTTCTACTCTTGATAGGTCAGGTGTCTACATGTCAGCCTCTGCTCTCCACAGGGCTGGCGCCTATATCTACTTTTCTGTTTAATACAGGTCAGGTGCCTCTGACGGATTCTCTAAAGTTCAGGTCCTTCTGTCTGAGCTACTGCTTTCCACAGGTCAGGCACTCAGGCCTCCAACTGAGCTAATTTCCTCTGCAATCAGGTGCCTCTGTCTGAGCTTCTTCTCTCAATAGATCAGATGTCTACAGTTCTCTTCAGGTCAGGTTACTCTGTCTGGGCTTCTACTTACTACAGGTCAGGTGATTCTATCTGAGTTTCTCTTTCCTACAGGTCAGCTGCGTCTATCTGAGCTTCTATTCTCTGAAGGTCAGGTGCTTTTATCTAAGCTACGGCTCTGTATAGGCCAGGTTCCTCTATCTGACCTCTTCTTCCTACAGGTTAGATAACTCTATCCAATCATCTCCTCACTTTATGTCAGGTGTCTCCATCTGAGTTTCCACTCTATACATGTCAGGTGCTTCTGCCTATTTAATCATCTGATTTCTATAGGGTACCTCTGTCTAATCTTCTTCTCTCTATGGTCATGTGCCTGTACCCATCTGAAATGTTCATCTCTCCAGGTTAGCAGCCTCTGTCTAAGCTTCTGCTCTGTGCAGGAAAGATGTCTTATCTGATCTTCTGCTACAGATCTGTACAGGTCTGGTGGTTCTGTCCAAGGTTATAATCTCTGCTAAGCTCGACGCTCAGGTGGATCTCTCCATTATATATTCCAATCTATACAATGAGGCCAATCTATTAAACGTTGATGTCTCCGAAGATAATGTTCTTGAAACCTCTTCAGTTCATGTGCCTCCTTCTAAACCACTGTACAAGTCAGGCGACTCGTTCTATCTCACGTTACACTTTCTATAAGCCACTTGCCCTTTATATATCTGGGCTCTTAACCTCCGTAGGTCCGGGGCCCCTGAGTTTTTAATCTCGGCCGGTCAGGTTCTCATCCTCATGTTACTTTCTAATCTCTACTGGTCAGGTAACTTTGAGTTGTTAAGATCCACAGGGTTGGGGTTGTGTAAATGTTTTAGGTTCATTTGCAACTTACTACCTGTGTGGAGACTGGATGTGGGAGAAGGCTTCCCTTGCCCCTCGTGTCCTAGGGACTCTGGTATTGGGGACAGAGTCCTGGCAGACAACGAGTGGCAGGGGTGCCAGTGGCGTTATCACCGTGCAAGCCAATATCTGATTCTGCAGCAGGTTTGTGGAGATCCCGAAGTCCAATGTCGACAGGCCGAGGTCACACCGAGCAGGCAGAGAAGGTACAAAAGGAGGAGGCAAAGGCCGTCCAGTAAAGCAATCCGAAATCAAGGGTAGAGGCAAACAAGAATGGTCAAACAATCCGAGGTCAAGGGCAGGCTGCGGGCAAACAAGGTTAAGGTCAATCCGGGTCTAATGATCACAGGAACTGAGAACAGGGAACAGGAGACGTCAGGGCGGTTGAGAAGACAATCCAGCAATGAGTCAGTGTGTAGGACGAGTTTAAATAGGGGAGATAATAGATGGAGAGCATCACTTCCTGTGCGCCATTTGGCGCGTGTCTCCGCGCCTAATCCGTGGCGCGTATGCGTAGTACGGGAGCCGGGATTTGGCGCATGTGCGGAAGCAGCTGGTCTCTGACACTCTGAGCCCGGTGGTCTGGTAGGTTGAGTGTCTGTGAGGACGTGGGCTGTGGTTGAAGGACAGCTGTCTCTTGCAAGGACTCAGATGGCCAGCTTGAGTCGTCGCGGGTCGGTAGCTACGCGAACAGGGTCTCCCCGTTCGATCGGAGCTTGACAAAGAGGCCCCGCCTCGAAACGCGTAGCTACCGACCCGCTCTCCATTGCTCTTTGACCCTCCAACTACTCCCGTCGGCGTTCGTTCCTCTCCGAACTAACCCTTTGCCCCTCCCGAGCCAACTGACACGAAGCCGACGTCAGACTCAACCTGGCCATCTGAGTCCTTGCAAGAGACAGCTGTCCTTCAACCACAGCCCACGTCCTCACAGACACTCAACCTACCAGACCACCGGGCTCAGCAGGTCTGCATTCTTCCAGGGGCCCCACTGGAGTTCCTCCCACAGATGACTTCTCAAACGTGAGTTCCCCCTCATACCACTCTCCAGGCCGACGTCCGCGTCATCCCATCCAGGCGAGTAACACTCGGGGTGCCGCCCCCAGCGAATCTGCCGCCCCAGGCAAACGCCTTGTTTGCCTCGCGGGCAGATACGCCCCCGCTCATGCTTAGTACAGTAGTAGCGCTTCTCAATACACCTTCTTCTCATTGTTTATCACAGGGCTCCTCTCTCTGTTTCATATAGAGCTTGCACGCTGTAGTCCCTGTCCTTACACCGCATCTCCCACAAGTTTGTATGCCCGGGTAGCGCGCTTGTTCTTGTTTTTGGTCTCTGACACTCGCTGTTGTGAATTGTTGTAATTGATCGGAACATGGAATGTTTCAAGTTTTTGGTCTCTGACACTCGCTGTCGTGAATTTTTGTAATTGAATGGAAATGTTTCAAATATCCCTTTTGACTTTTCTCTCTTTTTCTTTTTAGGAGCTGAAGGATCCGTCAAAGTTTGAACCTCGCATCCAATACTACGTCCCTGCAGAGCATGCTCCTGCAGAATCCCTAGCATTGCCAAGAGTATTCCCTGCGAGCGCTCCAGCTTTCCAGTGTTGTGGGATGCCCTTGGCGCCATCCGTCCTATTGTAGGTCGCTGTCCAACCTTGGCAGTGCTGAAACATTAGCCCCGCAGAAGTAGAGCCGAAGATAACGAGGCCTTCGTCTTTGAAGTCCACCAGATATTAGTTCCTCTATCTTGCGCTGGTCACCATGGATGAATCATTCAGAGATCGGACTGCTTTTATACGAGGAGCCAAAGACATAGCCAAGGAGGTGAAGAAACACGCGACCAAGAAAGTTGGGAAGGGCGTGGACAAGGTGCAAGACGAATATACCAAACGCTCCTACACTCGGTTCGAAGAAGACGACGACGACGACTACCCGCCGCAGGATGGGTACTACCGAGAAGATCCCGTCAACGACGACGAGGGGGGGTCTAGCGATGCCACCGAAGGCCACGACGAGGAGGACGAGATCTACGAGGGAGAGTATCAGGGCATTCCTAGGGCTGACTCCATGAAAGGGGATCACCTCGCCGATAACCAGGAACCGGTTACCGAGTTCAAAGACTTTACTGATCTGGAAGGGCAAAAGAGGAAGGACAAGGAAGAGCTGGCTCAGCAGTACGAGGTAATCCTTCAAGAATGCGGCCATGGACGATTTCAGTGGACCCTCTACTTCGTGCTAGGACTTGCCCTCATGGCCGACGGGGTGGAAATTTTTGTAGTTGGATTTGTGTTGCCCAGTGCGGAGAAGGATATGTGCTTGTCTGACTCCAACAAAGGCATGCTGGGTAAGTCGGTCTTCTGTATAACTTCAGCCTGTTTCACTGTACTGCATGGTTCTGTTACGCAGGTTTCGTGTACTTTCAGTTTTTGGTAGAACCCCGAAGGGTTAAAACCCAACCGAAAGTTTGGTTGAAATCAGCCAAAAATGCATTGCAGGGGCTTTTGTTCTTTAGAATGCAGACACAGCCGGTCCCCCGCCATCACGCTGCAGAGAAGGGCCCCTACTCCCTGTGTAGAAGCAGCGGTCTCTCTGCAGAGGTCCAACACGCCCCCTGCTGATTCCCACCTCTAACTCTGCAGTCAGGGCCAGATTTACTCTCCCTGCTGCCCCAAGGCCAGGTTCCGCAATGCATCCCCCTCCCCAACCATCAACGAAGAATGGCAACCGGATGGCAGGGGCAGCAGGGGGGAGGGGGTTGTTTATCGGGGGTTGGGCTCCGCCCCTTAGTTCCAGTGACGGGAACTCTTAAGGCCTCAGCACACCAAGACATTTTAGACAATTTGATGCTCCCAACTTTGTGGGAGGAGTTTGGGGACGGCCCCTTCCTGTTCCCACATGATTGCGCACCAGTGCACAAAGCAAGGTCCATAAAGACACGGATGGGGGAGGGGGGGGAGGAACGTGACTGGTCGCACAGAGTCCTGACCTCAACCTCATAGAACACCTTTGGGATGAATTAGAGGTGGAGACTGCAAGCCCCTCCCCCAACATCAGTACCTGACCTCACAAATGATCCAACATTCCCATAGACACACTCCTAAACCTTGTGGACGCCTTCCCAGAAGAGGCGGAGCTGTTATAGCGGCAAAGGGCGGAGCCAACCCAATACTGAACCCTACGGACTAAGACTGGGGGGCCATCAGAGGGCGGAGCCAACAAAATACTGAACCCTACGGACTAAGACTGGGGGGGCCATTAGAGGGCGGAGCCAACCCAATACTGAACCCTACAGACTAAGACTAGGGGGCCATCAGAGGGCGGAACCAACCCAATACTGAACCCTACGGACTAAGACTGGGATGCCATTAGAGGGCGGAGCCAGCCCAATACTGAACCCTACGGACTAAAACTGGGATGCCATTAGAGGGCGGAGCCAACCCAATACTGAACCCTACGGACTAAGACTGGGATGCCATTAGAGGGCGGAGCCAGCCCAATACTGAACCCTACGGACTAAGACTGGGGGGCCATTAAAGGGCGGAGCCAACCCAATACTGAACCCTACGGACTAAGACTGGG